CTTCTCCTCCCTCCTCTCTCTCTCTCTCTCTCTCTCTCTCTCTCTCTCTCTCTCATTTTCTCTTTCTCTCTCTCTTACAACGCATTTCGCGAAGAGGCGACGATCGACCTGGAATGCAGTCGACTTTTCAGGATAGGGTAGGTACGTAATACATCGATTCGAGCGATTCGTCTCGACGAATCGAGACAGGGGTTGTGATCCATCAGCTGGTAATTGACAGTGAAATAGTTTGCGCGCGCATAGAGCATTTATTACACACCGGTTTCCGCGCGGGCGCCTCGATATCTCGGTCTGTATGTTATCGGTCGCAACCACTTCGGGCGTCGATAACCCGCCCCTGTAAAGCGCAAGCATTATAGAGATCGTACTGGAGGTACCGTTGGAATGTACAATATTTCATCAGAGAACAGTAATTTTTCATCATGTGAAATACGCATCATAGATCACGATGAAATGGGAATACACGAAGCTATGGATCTCGATTACAGTTTCCTAAATATACACTAAAATATGACGGGATTTATTTTCGCAAATAAATCGGTAAAGATGTAATGAGCGTGACATATAAATATAACAAAAAAAAAAAAAAAAAAAAACAATAGAATACGGAAGAGTAAAAGTCAAAGAGGAAAGTGGCAGTTAAATTTCTACTGGTACAAAAGAACGTGCGAGAATTTTGTTGCAAGCTGTGAGTAGAATTTTTCTTTCTCAAGTAGCGATGGGATCGTTTTCCACAAGTTTGATGACAGTTATGAGAAACTCTTAAGCAAGAGAGTGCGCGATTGCGTAACGAAGTCTGAGGATCTCTTGGCGAACGACAATTCGACCCGGTGGAATAAGTGGCTGAGACAACTTTGGCATTCATCGCGCTCGTGAATGAAGCCTTCGCAGCATCATATTTTACACGCGCCATCACGGTCCAGCAATTGCGCTTCCGGGCTTCCTGCTTGCATCGTTGTTTACGATACTAGTGCGATTCTCGATTATCTACATCGCTGAAAATTAGTCGCTCGCTGCCGGAGTCGGCTCGAATTTATTCGGAGCTGCCTCGGAGGAAACACGCTCTCGTGTTCATCGAGCTAAAAGATGAGAGAGAGAGAGAGAGAGAGAGAGAGAGAGAGAGAGATACAAACAGAGAAAGGAAACCTACAGAATCTCTTGAGGGCTTAACAAAATCACGAAGCAACGAACCGTCATTCTGTGTGGCGGAAGTGGCTCATAAATCTGCAAACAAAATCGAATGCTTTTGCAACACTGCGATACGAGCTAAGAAATCGTGAATAAACGCGAAAACTCTGGACAATAGCACTATTTTCCCTAAAATTTCCAATTCTCAATGAATACTTTTTAATTAATTTAAGATAAAATTTTCTTTACTTAAATAATATCAAGGTATATTATTCCCCAAATAAAAAAATACCTAGAAAAAAATGTCTAGTGATCAATTTTACTTTTTCTAACCAATTATTAATTATTAATTATTAATTACTTTTTCTAACCAATTATTAGTCACTACCCAATAAATCCAAAATAATAAAAACTATTTAGTTTTTAGCCAGTTTATCTTAAATGTTTTTTTATTTTTATTAACAAAAGAATATCAAAAATTGTCTAAAAAAGATTTCGCAGATATTTCTTCTTTTTAAATTATTCTTTTGTAACAAGAATCTAAATTATCGTTTTAATATAATAATATTCACGAGCGATAATGATTTCTTCAACAAATGGTTTTATTTAACAAAATATATAATTCTCCTTTTTATCAAATTTTAATTAAAAATTTAATTACTTTTAAATTTAATTGAGTGCACAACATCGCACAAATTCTATATAATAATTTTTATAAAATACGAAAGGAAAATAATTTTTAAATTACGAAAAAGCTTACTACGCGCGCGTTCTTTCAGATGTTCAATAAGATTTTGAAGTCTCTCAAGAAACGATTCGTAACTGGCAAGGTAAGTGCTTATAGTGCGATTCGATGGAACTTGCTGCACTTTCTAGATAAATACCGATTTAGTCCATAAATGCCGTAGTCAGTGTTGCACGGAAACGCGGTAGTCTCGAAGTAAAGGTAAATTTTGCGAAATCTCGCCGGAATGGCGATAAGTAAAATGCAGATTCTGCCCCTGCCCCTCACACCTCTCAGGGAAACTGGTGACAATTGTTGCCTGAATCGAAGACCGAGGGAAAGGAGCGGACAATAGAAGCTTGAGTCATTTGCGACGATGCATTCAAGAATAGCTGCTAAGTTGAGAAAAGTTAAGATAAAACGGAAGGGGAGAAGAGGGAATTGAACCGCATGCGCTGCGTGCAGAAAAGATTATCGTCGATATCGTCATTTCGAGAAATTTCAAGATTTCTAATTCATTTAAAGATAAAACGGAAATAGATCGACAAATCGCGGAATAACAGCCGAAAATAACGATTGTCATTTATTTATTGTCCGGTAAAGTCGAACGAAACAGCAAGTAGATTTTACATCGATTCTTAAGAGATCGATAAAATTACTTTGCCGGGTTTTGAAGCTTCATTGCGGGATGAAATGGATTTTATTCATGAGCCGAAAATGTACAATTCTTCCCGTTCTTATCCGCCTCGTAGACTAGCGTGATTCATTTCGGAATAAAAGTCTATTTCGGATTATTGCAACAGTCAAGATGATAAATAGATATTGCGAAACCAGATCGCATAAATGTTGGCGGTAAGTGTTATAACGGCACGAGATGATTCTTGCTAGACGTAGCCAAAATGCAACCACCATATAATGTGGTGCGAGAAAGAGAGAAGAAGAAAAGAAAGAAAGTTGAGAGATCACACTTGTTTGAGAAACTCCGGAGAAAGGAAATGCATGTGAATCGTCGGACGCAAGATAGATGAAGGAACTCTGATGTAACGTTGATGTTCGACCCAATTATCCGGAGATTGTCCAAAGTCCACTATCTTGTTCTGGATGAACGGGATGAACTTGGGTTTAACTTTGCTCAAATCGAAATAGCCGGCGATATTCTATGGCGATTACGCTGAACAAAGGTGCGCGCTATAACAATCGAAACTTAGATTCGAACATTATTTGGGAAAGCGGAGCTCAAATGTTCCACTGCGAGTGTTTGCGTACCATTTCACGCCTCGAAAGGAACTGGAATTAATTTGTATGCCTATTAATATAAACTGCAGCTCGTAATTTGCTGCGTAATAAAGGAAGCCAAAGTAAAATCTGCGCGCGTTTAGAAACTCCGTCATGCCTGGCAAACTAACCAACTAATAATTTAAAATGAACATTTTCGTCGTTAAATCAGCGAATCTTTATGTTTCAAGGCATTAAAAGGTCGTGCTAAAACTTTTCCTTGCTCGGTCCTTCCCATCAATTTACGTAAAATCTGTTTTAAGTTTACTTGGCGTCTTACAATTTCATCATTTTAAGATATTTTCAATGTTTCACATAATACCATAAAGTTAAATTCAAAACGTGAATTTTTCCATTACTATCTACACCTTAAGAAAAAAATATTTCAGATAAAAAAGTTTAGAACATCAATTTTTGAAGAACTATATTTTTCAAAAATTATATATTCTAGAAATATATATTAAAATATCTTCATATAATCAAATCAAAAAGAAAGAAGTTAAATAATTTACGAAGAAACGGAAGTGCGTTCTCCAATTTTGATGAGCTTTATGTTGTATTCTAAACCAAAATAAGAGATATGTATTTTTTTATACGTATTCATATGCACTTTTAGGGGATAAAACATTTTTTTTTAAGAAAATCGGTTATTTTTTTCAAAACAAATAACTTTAAAACTATACAAGATGAAAAAAATATTTTGAATAAAAGTTGAATGGTTTCAAAAATATTTTGTAATAATAATAAAAATTGTTTGATATATCTCCATCATTTTTCAAATTTTTAAAATTTTATGATTAAATTAAAAATATTTTAATATGAATTCAACATATAATAAAATTTTTTTTCGAAATACCATTTTTGCGAAATAATTTAAATCTCTTTTATAGGCATACTATATGCATGAAAGTATTCCCTTCCAATCTCGATGAACTTTTTAATATACTGTGTTCTACACCAAAATAAGAGACATGTATTTTTTTATAGTCATGCATAGACAGGTAGTACGCATATAAAGTTAATTATTTCTCTTGCATTTCTAGCCAGAAAATATTTCGAGTTTTACTGGTCTGAAACTGGCTAACATTCACTGATTAGTTTGATATAGCTAGTTTCTGGCTAGTTTTATCTTACCAGTTTTAACTTGTCTTTTCTGATCAGATATTAGATAGTTGCTATCAATCCAGCAAATCCAAAATAATAAAAATAGTAAAAAAAATATAGTAAAAACTAGCTAGTTAAAAGTTTTTCCTAAATATTTTTCTATTTGGAGTCAACAAAAAACTTTGTATTATTTCTAAAACTTCTTTTTCTAAAAATTCTAGCCAAAATATTTAAATGCTTATTAATTATTTGTTAATAATTTCTTAATTTATTATTAAGTATATTAAGATGAAAATCGATGAAAATCATTGAAAGAAAGGGAAAAGGAGAACGAAAGAAGAAAGATAAGACACACGCGAATAGGGTACGTGAATTGGGTCGCTCCCCAACATGAATGTGGCGTTTCTTCGATAGAAAGAGAGAGAAACAAGAATCAAATAATGAACCTGTTGAGGCGCCAGATGGATGGAGAGGCTGCTTATGATGGTGACTTCCAGCTCGACACGTTCAGAACCGGCAGTGTTGTTCGCGTGGCAGACGTATCTGCCGGCGTCCTCGACCCGGGCCGGCTGGAGCACCAGGACGCCGGCACGCGCGTGTATCCTCTCCGAGTTGAAGACCATCGTCGTGCCCGACACGGATTCGCGGAACCAGAGATACGTCGGCGGCGGGTTACCCTGCGAGATGCACGACAGCACGATCGTCTCTCCGGTGCGAATCGGTCCGGGATTCACCCTCTCGTTGAATCGCGGTGGCGACGAGTTGCGGTGCTCTGAAACAGGGGGAGGAAATGTCAGAAAAATGTCCACAAGATAGAGCTTCAAGCTTCTCATTTTCTTCGACATATTCTGAATTTTTATAACAATTTTTTTATTATATATATATATATATATATATATATATAT